GGCACTCTGGAGCTGAGGCGGTGGATTGCTCCAGGTCAGGAGTTCGAGACCAGCTTGAGCAAGAGCGAGACCTGTCTCTGCTATAAATAGAAAGAAATTAATTGGACAACTAATATATATATAGGAAAAATTAGCGGGCTGGTGGGCGCATGCCTGTAGTCCCAGGAGGATGACAGGCGTGAGCCGCCGCGCCCGGCCCACGACATAAGTCTGGTGACAGAAACATCACCAAACTTGTAAACGACGACCCCAAACACTTCCAGTACACGCATCCGGGCGCTGGGAGCAGCGGCGCGGTACCTGGCGTGGTTTTCCAGGACGCGCAGCGGAGAGGAGGCGAAGCGAAGGTCCCACATCTGGATCACGGGCAGGCGGTCGTCCTCGGAGGCCAGCACCATCTGGGTAGCGACGTCAGGGTGCCACGCCAGCCCGGAGCAGTGCATCTGCAGACAGGAAGGCCCACATTTTACCAGCCCAATCACTCTACGGAAAGCCAAATGAAGCCTGAGCACTATGCCCTTTACTGAAACAAAGAGTAAAAATCATTGAGTCAGGCTTAGTTTATTTAAAAAACAAAACAAAAAAAAAACAAAATGAAAAACTACTACATTTTATCGAACAATCTTGAACAATAATCTTTCTGAAATTTTTTTTGTTGGCCGGGCGCGATGGCTCACGGCTGTCGTCATCCCAGCACTCTGGGAGGCCGAGGCAGGAGGATCGCTCGAGGTCAGGAGTTCAACACCAGCCTGAGCAAGAGCCTGTCTCTACTGAAAATAGAAATAAATTAGCTGGACAACTAGAAAAATACAGAAAAAAATTAGCCGGGCATGGTGGCGCATGCCTGTAGTCCCAGCTACTCGGGAGGAGGCTGAGGCAGGAGGATCGCTTGAGCCCAAGAGTTTGAGGTTGCTGTGAGCGAGGCTGACGCCACGGCACTCTAGCCCGGGCAACAAAGTAAAACTGTCTTCAAAAAAAAAAAAAAATGTTTTTATGAAAATTCACTTTCATAAAAATGAAAATAGATGAAAGATTTCAATAACAAAAACTCCCACTCCTTTCCTCTATTTTATTACAAAAAATGAAGGCAAAATGTCTTAAGAAACAACTACCATTTAAAATTTTCATACGGGATAAATTAACATTATTATTGAAAATTACCTGGAAGTTCAGATCTAGGAGATGAGTAAAATGCTTACTATACGGTTTATTCCACTGCAATTTGTTTTAAAACTTCTGATTCATTTGAAAAACAATACTCTGAAGATATATTCTTAGTTGTTTTTTGTTGGTATGGTTTTAAAATTACATATGTATTCTGTGACTTTAGGCAAACTTGTTTTAGAAAATGTCAAACTATCCAATGTAATTAAAAACAAACAAAACAAAGAAGGCTCTCGTGTCAAAATTATTTCATAGTAGCCGGGCGCGGGCGGCTCTGGGAGGCCAAGGCAGGCAGATTGCTTGAGGTCAGGAGTTCGAAACCAGCCTGACAAGAGTGAGACCCCGTCTCTACTACAAATAGAAAGAAATTAATTGGCCAACTAATATATACAGAAAAAATTAGCCGGGCATGGTGGTGCGTGCCTGTAGTCCCAGCTACTCGGGAGGCCGAGGCAAGAGGATCGCTTGAGCCCAGGAGTTTGAGGTTGCTGTGAGCTAGGCTGACGCCATGGCACTCACTCTAGCCTGGGCAACAAAGCAAGACTTGGTCTCAAAAAAATAAAAAAAAAAAATTATTTCATAGCACCTAATGGCAAAAAACTTTAAGAAATCAGTAAGGCTGAGAATTTAATGTGTTCTATAGCAGTGTCTACTGGGCAAGTGGGAAAAAGATATTAGCTCACTTCAGCAGCACCTAACCAAAAGAAGATATGACCAGGAGTTTGGAAGTGACAAGTTCTTAGCCATAAAATTCCCAGCAGGAAAAACTTGTATATTCTAAGAAAAGCTAAAGATGAATGAAAAAGTTGGGGCAATATTTTAAAACAGCTAGCAAAGCAAAACAACCAGTCTATCATTGAATAAGCCCTTTGATTAATTGATCTCTCTTCATCATTAATAATATCCAGTAGAGTGTATTAGGAATTTTATTATTTTCCCTAATAAAAACATTCTATCCAACATGACTGATTAATGAAAGACAGGATTTGAGTTTACAGAAATTTGATTTGTTGCCAACTCTGACAAACAATATAGGAATACCTGCAGCAGAAATATAACATGCTCGTCACAAACCACATACTTACTCTGTTACTATGATCACTGACTTTGATAATTGGTTCGTTTTTCCTAAGGTCCCATACAGTGGCCCGGCCACTGGGACTGGCGGACGCTAAAATATGTTGAACTTGTCTGTTCCACGCGATGCAGCTGATGTCTTCTGGGGGCTAGAAGGAAGAAACTATTAGAAACCGTTTCTCTATTATAACCAAATTATAACCTGATCCTCCATATTAAAGAACAGATTACTTAACGATCTGATCCATTTATTTCATAAGTTTCCTTTATATTCCTGCATTCTTAACATATACAACAGTATAGTTTAAAGTGCAGGTAATAGGCCATTTCGATTATTCTATCTCGTTTAATGTTGCCTCATGCAAGAAGCATTTATTAAGCTCCTGCTGTAAATCAAGTGCTGCTTCTTTATTTTGCAGCTGCGACAAGATAGATCATGAACCACAGAGTAGACAGACAAGACAGACTATGACAGACAAGAAGGCACAGAAAAAGTTATGGCCCGGACCATTAGAAAAACACCTTTATAAATTGTGGAGCACGTGCTGTCATTATGCTACCTCTCAGACGTTAGGGCCAGCGACAAGGCTTACTCAAACTGGATGGCCAACATAACATACAGAAACTCAAGGAACGACAGGGGAAGAAGGCTCTCTATCAAATTTACAGGAAATACATAGGAAAAGGGGTTGATTTTTTTTGGTTTTAAGAACATTGGATGCTGTTAAAATTCAGAGAAGCTATCACACACTGAGAGAAAAAAATGTACTACAAGAAAATTATTAAGGATTTTTGTCCATTTTGTTTATTACTCTATGCCTAGTAAAATGAACGGTATCTAGCAGATGGTAGGTTCTGAATAAATATTTACGATTAAGGGATTCACCGATACTTTGAAGAAACATATATACTAATACTTTACTACACTGAAGAAAAATCAATGACATATAAACATGATTTAAAATATATATGTTTTGAGTGAAAAAAAATTAAAACTGAAATAAGTAAGTTTAGAAGAACTGCTTTTGATTCTTTGATTACATTCATCAAAATCAATATAATACCTGTGTTTTGGCTCCTGGCGTCATTGGAGTTGCAAAATTGTTTAAATCCCAAATGTAGATTTCAGATTCATTAGCACCAGAGGCTACCAGATTAGTCTGTAATAAAAAATAATACCTCAATAGTACTTGTGAATAATTAACAGAACTCATAATAACTCAGTTCAGAGCTGGAAAGATGTTAGTTTTATTTAGCACATACAATTTTTCTATTTAATTAAAAAAGCAAAACACACATGCATGAATTCCTAAATTGTGCATAATAATCTTCACCAAATGTAAATAGTTTTTAAGAAAAGCATATTATAAAATTCCATGTAACAAGAAGAAAATATGTCCACTGACAAAAAAAAAAACAACTAATTTTAGCTGGGAGTAGTGGCTCACACCTGTTATCCCAGCACTTTGGGAGGCTGAGGCAGAAGGATCACTTGAGCCCAGGAGTTCAAGACCAGCCTGATTGCTTATATCCAGGATTTGGATTTTAAGAAAAAAGAAACAAAACAAAACAAATAAACAAACAAAAGATAAAATAAAAAAAATAAAAAACCAGCCTGGGCAACACAGTGAGACGTCATCTCTATAAAAAAATTTAAAAAAAAATTACATGGATAAATTCTTAAACAATCAATCATGCCACCGTGTGGGGATTACTGTTTGTAGCTTTGCATTGCTGGAAGGAGATTTAATTGAGAGACAATAAAAGTTTACCAATTATTGCTGGATCCTAAAACTATGGCATTTTTCTCAGGATATCTTAAAACCAGCTTCCAGAGCTAGACCAATATAGGAATAGTAAAATCTCTTGTCTTAAATTTTTACATATTTCCAGTTCACTTATACTCAATCTTGTTCCAGATAGCAATATTTCTAGGTTATATCTGTTGCATAATTTTAGAGTCAAAAGGTCCTAAAACTGTGATATAAAATAGGTATAAAGTAGGAAAATAGTAGGCTTCATATATTGACCTTTATCCTTTACTATTCACTCTTATAAATTCTTCTCTAATCAACTGACATATAACTAAGAAAACAGAGGAATTCTATGGTGGTAGCTACCTATAATAAAAAACATTTTTACCAAAAATCAATAGCTATTTAATACAATTAAAAGAATTAGCTATCTGATCAAAGAGCAGACACTACAAACTACAGAAATGAAGAAGTCTTCTATATTTCTATATCCTAAGTATCTATTTATAATATAAGAAATAGAACTATAAATCTTTCTTAATATTCATTTTTTTGGTTGTTAGAATCTAGTATTCTACTAACTCTGGATCTTTATTAATCTATGCATTTATATAACTTTCAGTACTGTTTATGAAGGCAATAATAGAAATAATCTTAATTGCCTATTTGTTAAATCTGCATTATATTTATGTAATTTCAAATTATTTCAGTCGTAATCATTATCACAAATACAAAATTTTTCGATTAATACAACAGTGGCTTGATCCAGACACCGCCGGATTAATGCTGACCGAGCACAAACTTTTAAAAGGCAAGGTTTCCTACCTATGGGGCTCTTAATGTTTAACAAAAAGTCTAATCAGATGGCATGACACTTCCAGACTTCTAGAATTAAGCCTATTAACCTGATTCCGTCCACTGAGTTGGTATTATTCACCCTGATGTCAACTCTGAGCCCACCATTCTTCAAACAAACATACTTATTATTCATCAACCTGCAAAGGAACACGTTTTCAGCTTTTAGTTCTGACACGGAGGCATACTGGAGTCATATACTTATTTTAAATGAGCGGCACGTATTTTAAGAATTATGAGTAAATGTCAAAGTCTAACCTGGAAAATGTTCACATCCAAGGCTCTCACGGGGCCGGTATGCTTGTCGTTCTGGGCAATCACAACTTCCTTGTCTCCGGCTATAATTTTAGAAGGATCATAAAGAATAATGTTCCCATTTTCACCACCTGCAATCAGAACTCCAGAGACGTCTCCTTTGGAATCCATCTTATAAGGCCCCCAAATTAACTTGTGGTACCTTTAGGAAAAAAACGAGTAAAATAACTCATTCTTGAAGTCAAATAAATGTAGGCAAAAAAACCTGAAATTACACATTTTATGTTTTCATAAAAAATCCGAAAACATTGCTTTCCCTCCACTCCTGGTAACTTTGCATAACTTTGGTGAAATGGCATTTTATTATTCATACTCGTATCTGTATATCTGATTTTATAATCCCTATAGAGTAAAAACTCGTGTAGAGTTAAGGCAATGTAACAAAGTATACTTCAGTGGCGTAGCAAAAGATGTGGGTTTGAGAGTAATTTTACTACTTAGAAACTGTGAGATTCTGGGTAAGTTAATCTTCCTAAACTGCCTTCGGTTCATCCGTAAAACAGAGCTAATACACCCACTTCCCTTGAAAAATAAACTATTTGACCACAGAAGTGGTCACCGACAAGTGGTTCTGTTAAATAGTAAAGGTGTTAAAGGAGTCACCTGGAATTTTCTAAGAAGAATAATGTATTCTGACAGTAGAAAAGTGACATCAAAATTCTGTCTATTGTGACGAGTACCCCCACTGGTGGAGAATAAAGGGTTATAATCTACAATCTGGATGGAAATGAAATATGAAGGTGACATATGTATATGGTATATCATGAGACAGAAAATGGTGAGTAGAAAAACTCCTCCAGACAAAAGGTGTCTGGTTCCCATCGCAACGTGATGGCTCTAAAAAATACGACAGCTCCCCTGAAACCGCATAACTGGAGCTGTAGTCTCTTAGCTAAGGCACAATCTCTTCAAAACCCCCCAGGACACCGCAGCAACGAAGCTTATTTTGTTGTTTAAACGGAAGCCTCCTTTCTCTGCATACAGTAAGTCAGAAGTCCTTGACAGGCTGATCCAAATGCCTACTGTATCGGAGGCCATGTCAACAAAGTTCCCTGTGCAGTGTATTTCTAAATATTGATAAGTGCAAAGAAGAAAATAAAAAATAACCTACCATTCAGAGCTGATCCTATTAGTATCCTAATAAAACTACTCCTTTTTCTAGTCATACCTACCTTTTTTTTTTTATAAACAGTTGCAATAAGAGAGATAGAAAAAAGAACTCTACTATACCATGAGAAAAAAAAAAACAGTAGAAACACTATATACTAAAGCCCCTCCTTCATAACTTAAACATAACAGTCAGCAATAAAAAAGGCAATCGACCATATAAACACTTCTTTACTTCCATAAAAATTCACTCATATGCTTTTTTTCACAAAATATTTCATGTCGCTGATGGGATTCCTTGTAGTTTCTAAAACTGGCAAAATTATATGCAAACTAAGCATCGACCATAACATATATAATTAATCATGTGAATTTAAGGGCCGACCCTCCTACCTGTGAGAAGCAGAGAAAGTGGCACACGACCTCATATCCAAGGATGGGTCAGAAAGGTCTAATTCGAATATCTCCAGGGAAGCACTGGTGCTAAATGTTGCATCCAACTGCTGAGCGGATGTCCCTATGGAAAACACATTTATGGTAACTACACGTGCAACAATAAAAAGGCTCAGAGAAAACCGTACACAACAGAAATTAAACGTGTGTTTTTCAATTATCCTGCTCATGGCATGCTGCGCTCGTGGCTGAAATCTCAGCACATATGCCACTGAGCAGATGCCTGAGCCACTATGGCAATGAGATTCTGGCAAAGGGCTGGGAGATGATGTTTGCAAGAATGGATACTGCAGGTATTTTTAAGCCTGTAGGTATTTTAAAAATGCTCTGTAAAAAACGGTCCCTTGACTTATTATATCTGCTTCTAATCACACATGATACAACTCTAACTCTTTTTATATTAAAATGCTAATAATATCAACATTGCTCTTCATTCATGCCCACTGATATTAACTGGTTTTTACATGTGATTACTACAGGAAGGATAACAATGAAACACAATCCCTGTGAAGTAGGGAAGATAACTCTGTATGTAACACACCGTGACCAACGCTCTGATGTGCGTACGAGGTGCTACGTGAACGCAGAGGAAGGTGGCTGAACTCATTTTACAGAGAGGAGGTGTCCTCCCAGGGACAACATGCTTTCCAGAGAAGATACAGCTTGAACTGGATTTTGAAAGACAAGTATGAACAAGCCAGACGTAGAAGAGAAGAGGTTAAGTTACTCGTTGGGTTGCTCATCCTATCTCCCGTCTTCTGGACTTACCTGTAGCTAGGTAAATGGGGTGATTCCGGGCAGGGCTCCACGCCTGCATGGCTGTGCGATCTATTTCCTTTAACTTCATCCTGCTAAAGACAACAGTTTATATATAGCAATATACTGAATACGTTTACATAGAACACAGAAACTTATCTTACCCAAAAACATACTGGACAAACCAGTACATTAGTAATGGCCGAAGTGCCAATAAATCAAACTGGCTCAGGGTGTCACTTACTGGAAATGCTCAATATAAGGAAGAAGACAAACTTGTTGAGTTACTTTGAGAAAATATCAAGCTATTCTAGTTGCGTGCAGATTAGAGTCCCTCAGTTGAAAAAATCAGTCTAGAAAAATACCCCACAAAACCAATACAGGGTAATAGCTGAGGAATTAACTTTGCTAGACATGTGCGTCTCAAACAAGGATTTTTCAAGGCTAAGGGTAGCAACATAAAAAAACAAGGTACATATTCCTAGAGTAGGATTACTCAATGTTTAAGAGCAGTTTTAAAAGTTAATCTTACATTCATTTTCACTGTAGTTAGCTAAAAGAAAAAATAAAAAAAATAAATAAAAAAGTTAATCTTACGAGGTGGGAAGGAGAACAACAACAAAAAGTTAATCTTAAATTAAAACACCTGCCATAGAGACAAACATAGTAAGCCCACAGGTTTTAAAGATAAAGCAGAAATTTTTAGAAAACTTGTCTCTTCAAGCTACAATCCCACATACCACTTTGTTCATATGTTCTCTCCATCATAAAAGTTACTTTGATAGAAAAATTCAGGAGATACTGTGCTATATATATATATTTTGAAATCTTTGTTGTTTTTAACATAAATATATTCACATGGCCTAGTACTCCCTTGTAAGATGTACAATAATTTGGCCGGGCACACTGGCTCACACCTGTAATTCTAGCACTTTGGGAGGCAGAGGCGGGAGGATTGCTCGAGGTCAGGAGTTCGAGACCAGCCCGAGCAAGAGCGAGACCGTGTCTCCACTACAAATAGAAAGAAATTAGGCCGGGCACAGTGGCTCACGCCTGTCATCCCGGCACTCTGGGAGGCCGAGGCGGGAGGATCGCTCGAGGTCAGGAGTTCGAGACCAGCCTGAGCAAGTGCGAGACCCCGTCTCTACTAAAAAAAAAAAAAAAAAAATAGAAAGAAATTAATTGGCCAACTAAAAATATATAGAAAAAAATGAGCCGGGCGTGGTGGCGCATGCCTGTAGTCCCAGCTACCCGGGAGGCTGAGGATTGCTTGAACCCATGAGATTGAGGTTGCTGTGAGCGAGGCTGACACCACGGCACTCTAGCCTGGGCAACAGAGTGAGACTCTGTCTCAAAAAAAAAAAAAAAAAAAAAAGTACCATAATTTAATTACCTAGTCTGATACTAATGAACAGCAGGGCTGTTTTTTTTTGTTATTTTTACAAACAATGCTGAAATACATGGCCACATGCCCATGTTATTTCATCCATGGGTAGAGACTGCTATAAACTTCCAGGAGCAAAACTGCCAGGTTAAAGGATAAGTGCAGTTTTCGCTGTGATGGAGTGTGACCAAGTGGCCCTGGACAGCCACTGTATCTTTTCACATTCCCAAGAGTTAATATGTAACTACCTGCCGTCCCAGTCTAACCAGAGTGCACTGCCTCCCTTGGATCTTTACCAGCGACACGTGTGAGCAACCTTAGCTCCGTACACTTTCACTATAATGGACGCAGAGCATCTTTTTATATGATTATCACTTATCCGTGTTTCCTTTTCTGTCTATTCCTATCACTTGCCCATTTTTCTATTAGATTGATGGACTTTATCTTTTGACTTTTCTTATGATATGTATACATATTTTTTACCTATCACAGATTGATTTTTTTTTTTGAGACAGAGCTCGCTTTGTCGCCCAGGCTAAGTGAGTGCCGTGGCGTCAGCCTAGCTCACAGCAACCTCATAAATCTCTTGGGCTCCATAGCGATCCTCCTGCCTTCAGCCTCCCAAGGTTTAGCTGGGATACAGGCATGACCGCCACCATCCGGTAATTTTATTATTATAACGTGTGCAATAGGGGGGTATAGTAAACGTCGTCTTTTCAAGGCTGTATATCCTGTGATTTTGTGATGTAGTTTTATTACAGTAGTCTAGACTCCAGCATTCATTGTTTTTTTTGCTTCAGACAGAGTCTCACTCTGTTGCCCAGGCTGGAGTGAGTGCCGTGGCATCAGCCTCCCTCACAGCAACCTCCAACTCCTGGGCTCAAGCAATCCTCCTGCCTCAGCCTCCTCCCGAGTAGCTGGGACTACAGGCATGCGCCACCACGCTCGGCTCATTTTTTCTACATATTTTTAGTTGGCCAATTCATTTCTTTCTATTTTTAGTAGAGCCGGGGATCTCGCTCTTGCTCAGGCTGGTTTCGAACTCCTGACCTTGAGCGATCCTCCCGCCTCGGCCTCCCATTTTTCTGTTAGATTGACAGACTTTATCTTTTGACTTTTCTTATGATATGTATATATTTTTTACCTTTCATAGGATTTTGATTTTTTTAAACATAGGTCTTGATTTTTTTTTAGAGTTTTAGGTTCATAGGAAAGCTGTGCAAAAACTAGAGTTGCTAGGTCCCTTCCCCCAAACCCTCCATAGCCTCTCCCACGGCCACTATCTGCCACCAGAGTGGCACATTTTGTTTCAATCCACGAACCAACACCAACGTGTTATCACTCAAAGTCCGTGGTTTACATCGGAGTTCAATACTCTTGGCGTTGTACATTCCGTGGGTTTTGACAAATATATGACGGCATGCATCCATTATTATAGGGTCACACAGAGCAGTTTCCCTGTCCTGAAATCCCCTGGACCCCACCTATTAATTCCTCCCTCCCTCCATCTCTCCCTCCATATGGAGCTTATACAGTGAGTTTAATATGAATTCTTCCTAGGACCTAAAAAGATGGGGTGCTGTTTTCAGGGTCCAGAGTTCAAATCCTCTCTATTGATTTAATTGTTTAGGTCTTCTATTATCCTCATTTTTTGTTTACTCGATCTGTCTTGTACCGGGCAGTAAATTAAAAGTACCCTACTGCTAATGCATTTGTGCCTGTTCCTCCTGGTATCTCCTGAAACCTCCGTTTTATGAAAGTTATTTTGTTATTTAATACATAGTTACTTGGTGCATAGTCGCAATGTTAAATATTCACCATCAAATACACATTTAAGCTTTATAAAGTATCCTTCTTTTTCTCAAATAATGACTTTTGGCCTGAATTTCACCTTTTTTAAATTTTTATATTTATATATAATTATAAATTTTAAATGCTTTTATTTAATTTTAATTTATTTTAAAATTCTTTTTAGTAATTTATCAGCTCTGGTGTAGTGGGATGAATTCCACCTTTTATTTGCTTTTACATGCATACTTTTTGCCCTTTTCAACTTTTGAACCACTCTGTTTCAATTAGCTATCTTGAATACAGCAAAAAAACAGATTTTGCTTCAATTTGCAAATCTTTCCAAGAAGTTAGCTAAGATCATTTAAAATGTACTGATATGAGCCTGAACAAGAGCAAGACCCCACCTCTACAAAACCCAGAAAAATCAGCTGGGCATTGTGGCCTGCACCAATAGTCCTAGCGACCCAGGAGGCTGAGGCAGGAGGATCGCTTGCACCCAGGAGTTTGAGGTTGCTGTGAGCTATGATCACACCACTGCACTCTAGCCCAGGCAACAGAGCAAGACCCTATCTCAACATAAAAAAAAAGAAAAAAAAAGAAAAAGTATTGATATGGCAGACAGGGTTGGTTTTCATTTCACCATATTTTGCTGTGTTTGGCGTAATAATTTTATAAAAAGTCTTTTCCTGTTGTCTATTTTCTCTTTTGTGTAGTTACCATTTTCCCAGTAATCAGGATGATTTGCATCTTTATTGTAATATGTGTTTCTGGTTCTATCTTTATAACTATAATTTTTAAAAATTTAACTTAGTACCATTAATTCTCTATTTTTTTATACAGTAACTACTAACTCCCTTCTACCAGCACTAATCAAATTAGCTTGGATAATCTCACTGCCCCTCTTGTACTACACAATTACAGTCAATAGTATTATCTGTCTCAGTGTGTACCTTTGTACTGCTATATATGCTTATACTTCTACTATCTGACGTGTCAGCTTTAAATGATGTCCTTTGACTCCCAGCTATTACAGAGGTGCCAATCCACAAACTTATTCTACCTCCAATTTTCCTTCCACTTCTCTGTTAGTTTTATGATCAATTCCTACATTTTTGGGACATTTAACACCTACATTTTATTCTTTCTTACTTACTCCCACTTTTGTCTCAGTCTCATGTCCATAGTTAAATATACTCAACACTTTCCAACAGTATTCTTGCCAGTTTTCCTCTCATCCCCAGAGTTCGTCCTCTTAACAGTTTCCTTAAGAGGGCCTTGGACTAACAATAGTCTTACAAGTTCAAATTGTTTATACTTGAAGATTTTACAGATGATACAATTAAGACACAGAAAGTTATATAATTTGTACATGTTAGCAAGGAGTAGAGGGCCAAGGCTTGAACTTAGAAATTTAGTTCCAGAGTGCCAAGCTCTTGTTACTTCCAACAAAAATTCAGGTATTCAACTTTTATATCATAGAAGAAATATTAACATTTAGAAGAAACAATGAATGGCAGAGCAACCGACATGCACGATGAGATTAAGAGAAGAAGAGATGCACTTTACAAACTGTCTAGGTTCGGAAAAGGCAGGATTAGGAGGTTGTTATCACGTGATTAAAAACATGGCGTCTGGAGTTAATCTTGATTTGACTACTGGCTCTGCTATTTATAAATGATACCTTGGACACATTCTTCAACCGGAGCCTCAGTCTCTACATTTGTAAAATGGGGATAAAAATGACTACCTCATGGGATACTGTGAGGTTTAAATGATGTATTTTATGGAGAGCCAAACGAAGTTGTCTAGCACATAGCTTAATGTATGTTTTGCTCTGTTAGCTATTTTTAAAAATCACTGTTATCATGAGATTAAGCAAGAAAACTTCACATCTAGTTGCCTAAAATTATTCTAGGGAAAAAAAAATCCCAATTTTCTAAAAAGTAAAAAAGGAACCTATTTTCTTTATATGAATGCCCTCTGCTTGCTCTCAGCCAACTGTCTGACCAAATGTTTATAATAGATCCATGTACCAGCTCCTTCATGAACACTGACATGATGATCCGAGCTAAACAAATCTAAATAAATAATCTCTCAACTGCTTATAACTCAGTACCACACTTTAAGCACTTCATAATATGTTATTCTACTTTAACTAAACACTATATAACATTCTATTAACATATACTGTTTATATATTTTCTAATTTCCCTTTTTTACCAACTGTTTTATGTGTTACCTTGTCTTACTAAGTAGACCAATAATATCTTTTTTCAATCAGGTATTACAACTTTTATCCCTTTTTGGACTCAAGATTGCTCAGCATGGTATAAGTATGTAGCAAGTTTTGTCTGATTGATTTTAAAGGCTTCTATTTTAGGGGACTATAAAGAGACTAATTTAGGAGACTAATGAGCCAGAAAGACCAGTTTCAGATAAAAATTTAAATTTTTAAATTTTTAAGTCTTAAAGGATCTTTTCCTATTTAAAAAGTAGGAGAAAGTACTGTTAGGAGAAAAAAGGTGATAAAATGCCTTCAGAATAACTTCTAAAAGTGAAAAACAAAATAGTTATATTTTTTAAAAAACTAAATTATAGTATCTCTAAGAGCAAAGGTAAAAGGACTACCTAATTCATGAATGCTTAATGTGCCACATTCACTGAAAGAGAAAAAGACAAATGTCTAAGAACATAACTAAGATGGCCAAATGGGAATTCAAAGCATTTATAAAAGTTTATTTCTTAGCCCTAGTACTCAATGTTCTACTAGAAGCAGTTCTACTTATTAACCTGAATATAAGGCTTCAATGCCAACTGTTTAAAAAAAAAAAAAAATCACTATACTACAATAATGGCTACCACTATGGTATAATATACTGTCTGAATCCAATTAAACGAGAGTTTATCTACCTATTGCAATCATTCTCAAAATTACCAAGAAAGCTATGGAAATACAGCTTCAACTGAATATATATTAATATATGTTTCTTTTGCTTAGAAATGATCGTTCATTTAGTTGTAAATAGTTTTCTTGAAAACATGAGCAAGAGGGTTTAGATTAAACGATATATACTTCCCAAGAAAGACTCGCTTTAAAAGCTTTGTACAATTTTTTAAAATATTGCATGTAGTTAGAATTCATACTACGCATTACTTGTTTCATTCAAGATTATTTTACACAGAATATAATCATTACGAAAACATACAAAGAAAACTTTTAGACAGAGGCTTGTTCATATATATCATCTACAAGACAGTATCTATGTGTGACTTGGGTCCCCCCCTCAGTTAAATAAGGATAATAACAGTTATCTATACCACAGGGTTATTGTGACAATTAAATGAGGTATTAGAACGGCTAGAACACAGTAAATAAGTAGCTCATCAATGAACATAGTAGCTCATCAATGACGGCTACTACAAAAATCACAATTTAAAACGGCTATCCCAATGAATCTTCAACAATACATCTATTAAAAGAAAATTTATACTCCAGACTAGAACTCTTAATTTTTCACCCAGATCTCTCCCCACAACGACTGCATCCAATGAAGTGGAAATTTCTTTCTTTCTGCTCATTTTCAAAATGTAAATTTTGTGAAGCAGTGCTGAGACACCGACACTACTAGTCTTTGAAAAATACCAGTTGTAGAACGCCAGACAAAGAGCTGCCCCATACCTCAGAATGTTAAGTAGAAAGAGGTAATAGAATCAGAACCTCTGCCTCTCAAACTAGGTATACAAATCCCTAGCTGGCACCGCTTTGAGTAGAAGTCCCTCCTGCGTGGGCAAAAATATCTCACTATGGGTAGGGGCGATTGTTCTGGAGGATGTGTTCCGCATTATCGACATTCTAGGTTCATCTTACCCAACCAAAACCAAACTGAAGATGAAAGCAAACGTGGACCAGTCACTGAACTGAATGCTGGCATACTAACCTGCAGTACAACAAAACTTTCTGAGCTGAAATTAACCTACCCAAATAGGACATTTCTAAAAAAAAAAATGTAATCAATGCGTCCAGCAACATAGATCAATTTAGTGACACCCCCTTACAGAGAGTGTTTAACTTGGGATTTGTAAACCTCACGAAATTATGTACACAGAGAAAATCCTGCGTGCGTTTATCTCTGGGAAGAGAAAGCCCAACGCTTTTCCTAGATTCTCAAAACAGAGCGAAGTCCCGAGAAGGGCTATGGGAATCACTGCTCTTTACAGTTTACAGATTTCTTTCTTTTCTTGTATGTTATTAATTTCAAACAAAACAACAACAACAAAAAAAACAACAACAACCTGCTACATAAACTTGAGCAGTATAATTCTAAATCCACCCCAGGTTTCGCATTTCCCAAATAAACAGTGGATGGTGTAAAAATAAAAAAATCACAGCTACAAAAAAAAAAGACAAAAAAAAAAAAAAAAAAAACAAGAAACCACTGAGAATTATCCCAAAAGTTCTTAAGAGTCTACCAACCTTTCCCAGAGTTCTAATTAAGGAGCCATGAGAAATAATAAGGAGCGGCAGAAGAACCACTGGAAGGTAAGATGCGGCCAATTCTGAATAACCCCCGAGATGTGCCACAGAAAACTCAGGACACCGTGACCAGGGCGACAGCCTCTAACCACCCAGTTAATTACAGCTGCAGCTGCCCACACAGGCAACCAAAGTCCACTTTTCCACAGCTAGAAAGGACAGTTTGGGGAGGAAAGGACCTGTCACAGACAAGTCACACCATTGCCACTTCAAAAAGAAAAAAAAAAAAAGGCCGGGCGTGGTGGCTCACGCCTGTAACCCTAGCTCTCTGGGAGGCCGAGGCGGGCGGATTGCTCGAGGTCAGGAGTTCGAAACCAGCCTGAGCAAGAGCGAGACCCCGTCTCTACTATAAATAGAAAGAAAATTAATTGGCCAACTAATATATATACAAAAAATTAGCCGGGCATGGTGGCGCATGCCTGTAGTCCCAGCTACTCGGGAGGAGGCTGAGGCAGGAGGATTGCTTGAGCCCAGGAGTCTGAGGTTGCTGTGAGTGAGGCTGACGCCACGGCACTCACTCTAGCCTGGGCAATAAAGTGAGACTCTGTCTCAAAAAAAAAAAAAAAACAAAAAAAAACCACCTATGCCTATGGGAGGCATTTAAAAAAGCAAACTAAAAAAAAAAAAAAATATTTATATATAATAATAAAAAAATTAAAAAAAGAAAAGCCAAACTAATAGATTCTGGTTACTACAGCACTTATTGGAAAAGTAAAACACAGTATTAAAATGAAATGAACATTTTAAGTAAATATATATATAAAAAAAATTTTTTAAAAAGGAAAAAAATAAATAAAATTTAAAAGCCAATCTAAAGGGACCAAAAAAAAAAAAGAGAAACCTGTGTAAAAAAAGAGTTCTCTGAGCTCCAACAAGAAGTTCACACGCCCACAAAAATGCCCAGGCAAAATTTCGATTTGTCTCACAAAACACCCCTGCGACCTCCACCACTCGCTGGCAACAAACAAACAAACAAACAAAACAAGACACCACAACCCGTGAGGAGACTCGTTCCGAGGTTCAGGGTGCGACGTGGCGACCACTTCCCCAAACACCCACGCCCCGTGACAATGACAGCGGTGAGCCCCGCCAGCCTGCACCTGACCCTCTGGAGCTAGAGTTCAAGTTCAAGTACACACAAAAACCCTAACGGAATCAAAGTCACCCAGAGCAGTGATTCTGCCAGGACCGTCGTCTCCCTCCGTCGCCCCCTGGGACAGCGGCGCCCGGTGTGCGCGGCCGGCCGGCCGCGGGTCGGGAGGGACGCTGACCTCGAGGGCGGCCGCGGCCGGTCGTGAGCGTCGCTCGGGGCGCGGCGGCTGGCGCGGCGGAAGGCGCGGTCCCGCCGGAGTCGGCGGGCGAGAGGACGGGGACGCGCCGCCCCCGGAGACCGGGCCTCAGGCCGGCGGGCGACCGCGGACGTGGCGGGGGGGCTCGCGCTCCCTCTGCCCTCCTCAAGGACCGGAGGCCGGCGGGGAAAGAGAGAGAGAGAGAGACAGAAGGGGCTCAGGGGGGCCACACACAGACGCCGCCGCCGCTCCTCCCCGCCCAGGGCCAGCTCTCCACGCTCCGCTCCAACGTGGCAGCCGCAGCCCCGCCCGCCGGCCGGCCGGCACTTCCGGGAGCGACGCCCGGCCCCGCCCACCCGGCGCACGGCCCGCCGCGGGACTTCCGGGTCCGGCTGCCGGGGAGGCGGAGCGGAAAAAAAAAAAAAAGAGGGGGTTCGTTCCGGACCGCGCCTGCGCGCGCTCGCGTGCTCTCGCGAGAGGTGGGGCTTGTGTGTAGTGGGAACCGCTCGGGACGCGGAAGCGGTGGCCTGGACACGTCCTGGCGCTGCCCGGCGTCCCCGGCTGCCGGAAGGACGGCCGCGGGGCCGCGCTGGACGCCACGTAGCGCTGGTCCCGCGAGGCTCCCCCGGCGACGCGGCCGGCGCTGGGCAAGCCACGTGGGAAGTCTCGGGCAGCGGGGGCCTTGTGGCAGCTGAGGCCGAGGAGGGAGGATCGCTCGAGGTCAGGAGTTCGAGACCAGCCTGAGAGCAAGAGCGAGACCCCATCTCTACTAACAATAGAAAGAAATTAATCGACCAACTAAAAAATATATAGAAAAAATGAGCCGGGCATGGTGGTGCATGCTGTAGCCCCAGCTACTGGGGAGGCCGAGGCAGGAGGATCGCTTGAGCCCAGGAGTCTGAGGTTGCTGTGAGCGAGGCTGACGCCACGGCACTCACTCTAGCCTGGGCAACAGAGTGAGACTCTGTCTCAAAAAAAAAGTTGCTTTCTTGGTTCTGCATGATTGCATTTTGAGAACAAGACGATGCGGTCACATGCAGAGGCTGTTGTGGGCGCACACACAAGTTGTGTTATTCCAGAGAGGCATGGATGGATGGGGTGTCCGCTCCAGCCAGCATCCTGTCACTTTCGGAGACAGGTATCAGGGCCATTCCCCGCAAATGTCTGCATATGTGCCCTCACTAAGCTCGTCTGCCTACGTAGCTATGGATAGAACTTGGACAGCAGCAGTGTCGACATTCCCAGCCAGCTGGGTCGTAACTGTAGGCCCCAAACCCTGGGCCACTGCCCTGCCTCCCTCCTTCCCTCCCCACCCATGGAAAAATCTTTTCTTTTTTTTTTTTTTGAGACAGAGTCTTGCTTTGTTGCCCAGGCTAGAGTGAGTGCCGTAGCGTCAGCCTCGCTCACAGCAACCTCCAACTCCTGGGCTCAAGCGATCCTCCTGCCTCAGCCTCCCGAGTAGCTCGGACTACAGGCATGCGCCACCATGCCCAGCTCATTTTTTCTATATATGTTAGTTAGCCAATTCATTTCTTTCTATTTATAGTAGAGACAGGGTCTTGCTGCCGCTCAGGCTGGTTTCGAACTCCTGACCTCGAGCAATCCGCCCGCCTCTGCCTCCCAGAGAGCTAGGATGACAGGCGTGAGCCACCGTGCCTGGCTGAAAAATTGTCTTTCACGAAACTTGGCAACCAGGGCCCCCACGGCAGGCGGTGGCGGGAACAGCAGCAGCTTCACGGGTATTTAAGGTTGCTCCCCATCACCACCTGAGCTCTGCTTCCTCCCCTGCCTGCCAGTCCTTGGAAAAACTGTCTGGTGAGAC